AAAAAAAAAACATTTACAAGAATAAAGTCATAAAATAACGAGAATAAAATGCTGTATTCTTGTTGGGTGTGCAGGAGGCCCTACTTATACTTTTCAAAGATGTATGGTTGTATCATTGCACATCTGTTTGCAACCATTTCCGTGGGGGCGTGGCCAGCAGCAGAGTATTTGGATTTAAAGAGACAGGATGCCTTAAAACAGCTGAAAATAGGCAGAACTGAAATCTAATGATATCAGACATTAGCTTTAATGTGTGCAATAAATGTGATGAAACCTGTTCAAGGAAGCATAATAGGCCACCTTTAAACTAATTTGAATAATAAACTGATGAACTAATGAACTTGAATTTAATTAAATATTAAGAAAATAGACTTTGTGTTAAGGTCATTCATCCTTTTCACAGAAAAGCTGCTTTACACTTTAATACTAGTTAAAACGGAAAGAGCAAAGCCTTTCAGCACCGCCTGCTGCTGATCCTGTTGGAGAGATAATTCAGCAGAGCTCTGGTTGAAGATGAAAACAGAAAGAGCTGGTGGCTGATCCCAGAGCTGAGTGGGTGAGCCGTCAAATAAACACGGTCTCTCTGGATCCTCTGCTGCCAAGCTCTTCTTCACAGGATCTCTCTCTCTGCCAGTTAGCACAGATGAGGTGAACATCTGGGGACGTGCTCTGATCATTTCAGTCTTTTACAGGCCTGATGTCAAACACATCTGAATGTGATGTGAGCACAGCGCTGGCAGTCATCTTGACATTTCTGGTTTGATTCTGGAGAGGGATCGCCAGGAAAAGCTCCCGCTGAACGCTTCTTGATGGTCGACTTTGCAACCATGGTGTGAGATTTGCTATGTGGCTGCAATCATCCAATATTATAGCGATGAATCATTTGCTAAAGAAAATATACAGACAAATTGAAAATAATTGCTGTGTAATTGGGGCAAAACCTGCAGATTAAATACATATTCATTGGCAATCTTGCTAAATGTAGGTTTGAAAAACCTTAAAATAAATCTATATTTAATGTCACCTCACATAACATGTAAAAAATGTTTAATTTGAGAACATTTATTTTGTTAGAGTCTGTACCCTCCAGTTAACGATTAGTCGATTGCTAAATTAGTTGACAATTATTTTGATTATAAATTAATCATGATTAATTTGATTAATTGTTTCAGGCCTATCCTTAGTTTGTTCATTCCTATAATTGATGAAGGAAAACAACCAGAACTGCTAAATAAAACTTATTTAGAGGCACAAATGACAAATTAGGTTTTTTTTTAAACAAGGGAACTTTCAGTTTTGAAAAATATTTACAATGGGGAATTTGTTATAATATTTAAAGAACCCAAACCTTATTTCTAGTTTTACATTTCAAAACTAATTAAAACTTAAAACCTTTGTAAAAAGAGAATGGAAATATTTTCTATGGGATGTTGATATAACTATGTAAAAAAAAAAGGATGTAGATATAAATTAAGCTAATTGTAGAAGTTAAATAAAATTATTGCCTAGCAAAATTTGAAAAACAACAAAAACATACATTTGTAAATAATCTATATTTAAAAACATTAGTTAGTTCTTCATAATCTTTAGCTTGCACGTGACCAAATTAACACAGAAATGGTTAAACTTATGCAAAAAATGAAATTTCTCAAGTCCCAGAAAAAAAACTGTAAAAAAAAAAAAAAAAAAAGTCAGTGGAAGGACTGAATTATCTTGAGAGAAAAAAACCCAAAAGGTCACTAAAAGTTTGTACATAGTCCAAACTGGTGCCAAAGGTGATTTTCTTAATAAATATGTTAATGAGCAAATATTTTATATACGCTGAATAAATGTAATCAAATGAAAGGTTTATAAGTAAGATTATGCAACTGCAATGAAAGGCTAATTTATTAGATTGTGTTCCCTTTATTAAGAAAGAAAGGAATTGTAAATGTTTCTTTAACTTTAAAAAATTTTTTCTCAAACAATCTCTGAGCAAATTCCAAAACCTGTTTTCATAATTTAAAAATAATATGTTTACGCTGTCAAACCACTTAGATTAGGTTGTTAGAGGATGACAGAAATAAATAATAAATTATCTTATGTTTTTTTAAAAATTATGTTGGTGTTTATGACGTTGTACCTCGACACTCCACTGATCCCTGCAGAATTCCCATCACGAAGCCGTCGCTGCAGACGCAAACGAAGCTGCTGGAAGTGTTCCTGCAAGTCTGCAACGAAACGCATTCAACAAGCGATTCTTTCAAACAAGAACAACCTTTACTGTTCTTTAAAACCAAACAAACAAACTCAGGACAGGGTGCCAACGCGTGTCGCTGTCTTTGATCAAAACTGAAATTTATTAAAAGAAACCAGAGATCTGGCCTGAACAGGCAGCTCGTCGTTCGCAGGGATAAAGTTCACTTGGTGGAACAAAGATTTTTGAGTTCAAGTGATTCTAAAAGTGTAATTTATTTGTTTTATCTGGATAATTCTGTTTTTTGTCACAGATCTGGCTTTTAGTTGCCTGATAAAAACCTGCACCTTGTTTCATATGCTTCTCTTCGTACAGTAAAGGTGAGCGGATTGGTCCAAAATATCGATAATATCGATACCAAGTCTGTATCAGTACTGGATCAATACTAGCATGGTAAGATCGATACTTTAGTTTCAGATTCTCTGTAGAAATGTTCTTTAATTTTTCTATTGTAGTTTCTCCAATTTATTTTCATCAGAACTGATTTTGGATTAAGGGAGACTCAGCAAACACACATAATTTAACCAAGTATTTTTGTGTTGTTGCAAATATCGTAGTAAACTTGAAATAAGACAAAACATTACAAGTAACTTTTCAGCAAGATATAGGAGTTTGTTTTAAGTAAATAATTCCTAAATATCGATGAAAAAGTACTAGTTACACTGGCAGATTATTTCACTGATAATAAAGGAAAAATGTTTTATTATTAAGTGAAACAATCTGCTAGTAGAGCTAATCGTTTTTCACCAATATCAATAAATTACTGACTTAAAATAAACTCCCATGTCTTGCTGAAAAGCTACTTCTAAGTTAGTTTAGTCTTATTTCAAGTATACTAAGAGATTTGCACTAGAACTTAGAGCAAAAATACTTTTTAAGAGTTTGCGTTTTTTCAGTGTAGGCTTCTGAACTCATTTAAGGACTTTGTTCAAAAGACAAGAAATATTTGCCAGGAAACCAACAATTTCTGCTAAAAAAGAAGGACCGAACATCCAGCCAGAACACGGTATTATCCAGTAATAATTCAGAAACATTTTCACAGCAGTGAGGATAAATCTGTGACTTCATTCTGGCTCAGATTTTACCCAGAGTTGCTCCCACAGTGTGAGAATGTTTCCCCAGCAGCCGTGGGAGAGACTCGGCTCATTACAGGACAGGAGCTGTCGGCTACTGAGTTATCGGAGGTCACAACCGGACGCTGATGAGAGTCCGCATTTTTCTTTACTTTAGCTAATTAGAGGCTTTTGATAATTGGCTGGGCAGACCGCCACGACTAACAGAGCTGCAGAGAGCTGCCCTAACATCTCTGGAAAACTGTTCTTTAGTTTCTTTAAAAACAAACGTAACGCAGATGATTCATGCAAACGTTTCTGTGTGCAGGTTTTCTTTTGGTGATCACAAGGGTCGCTGGAAAAGTGACTTTAACATCCTGTGGGAGGAAGAGTTGGATTATATTTTTTAGAGACAGTTTGTACACAGTTTTACTGGATTAGGGAAACATTTTTCATAGGTCTACTGATTTATCATCCTTTTTCAATCACTGGCTTAAAACACATATAATCACTAACAGAACAGAACCAGGGACCGACTTTAGTTCTCAGAGGATGTAAAAGAGGAGTTACTTTCCTCAAATTTTACTTAAGTTACAGATGTAAAATGTTACTCAAATAAAAGCAAAACATATCTAATTAAATGTTATTTTAAGTGAAAGTTACTTAAATACGTTTTTATGATCAGAAAAAAGTTCTGCTCATGGATTCACAAAGGAAAAGAGGAGGATTGGTCTCAAACTGTTTTGCTTTTTACAGAAGAGGATTATGGCCACCGGGAAAAAATAATTAAAAAATCTGACTTTTCTCCAAAATTCTGAAGTTTTTCTCTATAACCCTCCTGTTCACTTATGTATTGTAACTTGTACTCGGACATATAATACATAAAAGTAAAAAAAAAAGAATTTAGACTTTTGATCTCGGAAGATTCGGCTATTCTACTAGTGCAAAAACATTTTTATAGGAAAACATTATTTTCTTGTTTTTATGTGGCATGTTTCCATTAAGTGAATACATTTTCATAATCATAATTGTCACAATTATATGCTCAACGGAAACAAAGCTTCTGAAACATACTTGAAATTAGCGTTTAGCACAGTGTATGCTAAACACCATGACAGTATAGCGCTTTAGCGTTAGCAGGACTAATGCTAATCATTCATGCTTTGAAACTAGCGCAGAAAACTTTTTACTGCAAATGGTGACTCTATTTACTTATTGGAAGACTGGATTTTATTGAGGTGTATTGAGTAAAGGGGGCTGGAAAGAAACGCATATTTCTCTTATTTTTAATTTTTAAAAAAATTGAAAACCACGCGTACCTTTTCTCTTTGTAGTTTATATTAGTGTAAAAAGTATTAGTGTATTAGTAATAAAAGGCTCGGAGATTTGAGGTTATGATGTTACAACATGCTTCCTTACGGTGAATTAAAGTAAGCATTAATTTTGCATGTTAAGTTTTTTAGTTTTAGAGACGTTCATTGATAAAATGCAGCCATGGCTTCAACAAGGTCAGTCATAACAGCTTGTTTCCGTCATGGTTTTGCATTTAATCCCAAAAGTACCAACATGCTTAAAGCTTCACTAGAAGAAATACCTCAGTAACTCCTCAACATGGTGAAAAATGGGAAGAAATTGACATTTTTATGCATTACTAAGATGTTCGGTCTGTTATGCAGAGATGAGTGTCTCTTTAAAGGGGCCCCTACCTTTACAGGTTTTATTATCGGTCGCCAGGTGGAGGCCAGGTGGACACAGGCACTGAACTGTTCCTGATCTCTCCAGCTGGCAACCAAACTGGCAACACAGGGAGAAACATGTGGTATCTCCTAAAAGAGAGAGAGAGGGATTGTGCTGCCATGAAGCACAGTCTGCAACAATCAGACAAGAACTGAAGCCAATCAATATCTAAACCTACTTTTCTACTTCTAGTTTTCCACATTTGCCTTCAAATGTGGCCGTGAGATCTTTTCCTGATTTTGATTTGTTGGCCATACGTTGTGGAGACGTAAATATGTGGTTGCAAAAGGACTTTACTCACTGGTGCAGGTGTATCCATCTGCAGTTAGGGAGTATCTGGGCTCACAGTAACAACGGTAGCTGCCCGGCGTGTTCATGCAGCGCTGGGAACAGGGTCTCTTCAGCAAACCGCACTCATTCACATCTGGAGTTAATACGGAACGTCATTAATGCAGTAGATAGAAATCCTTGCACTAAATGATCCAGAAGGACACAGGTAATGGTTAAGAAATTGAAAACATAAGCCTGGCAGCGGTTTTAGAAATTGCACTCCACCTTCATCACAGTGTGGTCCTTTAAATCCTGCGGAGCATGAACACTTGTCGGGTCCCACACATTTTCCATTTACGCAGGGCTTCCTGCACACTGGAGCAAAACCCGGCACAGCTTTAACCGCTAACATGAGGAGGACTGTTATGTTTTTATGCTGCTAAAAAAAAAAAAAAAAAAAGAATGCATCGTTACTGTAAGTCTGATGGGTGAAACTAAATGTCTAAGCTAACAGTTTCCAGCAGATTCAAAACTCTGATTGAGCAGAAAAATACTCAAATACGTTTGGAAACTAAGACTCCATCAGTCAATGCAATCTCGTCAGAGTCATCTTCAACCTTTTTGCTGAGTGACTCACATATCTGGATTTTGGATGTTTCCAAAATAGTAGCATCCATCAGGTTAGCATCCTGTGCTAAACTTGGTCCAGTTGCTTCAGTTTCCAAAGCAGCGGAAAGCACTGAGTGCTGAGATGGCAGCTCTCTGATCGCTTGCAGTTTGCCAAAACGCTGCAGCGCGTCTATATTAGAAATCATGATTGCATTACTTCAGCCTGCATTGGCAGGCAGCTTTCTTCACATACAGATTTATTACTTTACTTCATTCTCTCCATTATTAGAGGCAGCAATCACAGCCTCAAACCTGCCCAGTCAGGGTGACTGTGTGAATATATAAGTGGGCTTGTTGCAGACGTTATTGCTGTAAATTATAATATTGATGGTTTAAGACAATTTTTAAGTAATATAATGGCAAACACTGCACAAACACAAAACCTTTCCAAGTATTTTTGCTCTAGTTTCCGGTGCAAATATCTCAGTAGACTTGAAATAAGACAAAACTACATGGTGAGTATCTTGTCAGTAAGGTATAGGTGCTTGTAAAAACTAGATCCACTGGCAGATTATTTAACTTATTACCAGTCATTTTTTCCCACGTTATACGTGAAAAAATCTGCCAGTGTTTCGTCAATGTTATGGAATAATTGACTTTAAATAAGATCTTATTTCTTTTTGAAAAGTTACTTGTAACTTAGTAGATTTGAAATAAGACAAAACTAAGATATTTGCACTTAAAATTAGACCAAAGATACTTGGTAATATTTTGTGCTTTTGCAGTGTAATAATGCAAGTATGCCCTCTCAATGATCAATAATTTAATTTTTACATTTAACACTGGAACTGGAAGATATTTTAAATATCCAGAGTAAATAAACAAAATTGAAACAACAAATAAAAAGGATGCTGAAGTATCTGTAACCAAAAATGTTCTTCTAAACGTTTTTAGAAGAACAAATACTTTTGTCATCCAGTATTTGGTGGAAACAGAGAGAGCCATGAGAAAAACAAACAATACTTTTTTAGTCACTTTGACTGTTTCTAGAAGCAACTGGGAGCCACAAGAAAGTGTGAAAAACATGCAAAAAGCTCATTTTACATAATCAGTCCCCTTTAATGCTGGTTTATCAGGTCACTGTCAACTGTGGCCACTAGGGGGCAGGCTCAGAAATTAGCACAAATCTTGGTTGTGTTTGTGTTTCAGCTTTGCAGTGATTTGTAAAAACATCCAAAGAGCCACATCAGGGAGTCTGTCACTCTGGTTGGGATGTAACTGTTTGCAAAAATACTGAGATACCGTTCGCAGTCCTGCAGCCGAAAAAACAGGAAGCAGTTTGTCCAATGGGAACTGGCCGTCTGGGGACGTTTGACCCCAGGCGTCTCCCAGAGCGACCTCCTCCAGCATGTAGCGACAGGGAGACGCAGAGAAAAGACGTCTGCTCATAAAATACTGTTTAGACTTTTGAGAAATAAGATATGGAACGGTGTTTATGTGGCAAGACTTCGATGCTAAAAACACACATCCACACTCTAATGAAGACTTGCTGCCATTTTTTCAGAGCATTTTATGTGATAAAAGTATAAAATATTCACCACTGCTAATGATCTTCGGTATGCTTTCTTCTTCCTAACGCCTTTAAAACAGTGACACGCCAGAAACAAAAAGAAAGACAGAAATGCAAAACCATCTACAAGAATTAGGAAGCGGATAGCCTTGCACATGAAATTTTGTCTTTTTTAATATAAATTTCTACTTTGTTGGATGTTTGATGATTTGAAATATTTTAGTGTTACTTAAAAGCAAAAATAGGAGAAAAGTGTGAGAAGAAGACATTTTAAGGCACTGAAACCTGTGTTGGGTGATTTTTGACCATCTTTGTCATTCAGGTTGGTAACATTCTTCTGAAAAATCTTTTCCACCATTAAGTGGGCATTTAATGGTGGAAATTAATGTGGGAACAACTGCACTGACGCAAACCACCTTTTTTTTTTATTCCAACACACTTGCAAAACACTGATTTCAAGGGTCAGCAAATGGTCTGCCAACAGCCAGAGAGACTTTCTCATTTATTTAGATCATATTGGTTTGGACGTCTTAGAGGGAAAAAAAACTACTTATAGCTTAATACAGTAAATATTTCATTAAATTAAGTCCAATAAAATCTAAATAGTTTTTGAAAACAAACAGCTTAAAGTAACTTACCTTTTCTGAAGATGAGCTCATAGAGCAGAAAAATATTAAGCATCACAAGATTTTTTCCTGTTTTGTTCATTTTCTCCAACCTTAAAACCAAATAACTCGAATTAGAATCCTCCATCTGCCATCGCCTTGTCTCTCTCTGCTGAGAATTGTGTTTTGTTGTCTCCAAAACACAGAGTTTGGCTGCAGAGCGGAGGATGTTCCTGTGGCCTAATTTTAGGCTGCTGCGAGTAATTGATAGATAACTTACCTGCATGCAGAGAGAAAAGCAGAAGAGACACAAAGAGAGCACAAAAATACCCTTACAGACTCACCTTTTCCTCTTGATAATGAGATTTCTTGGGGCCAGTTTGTTACTGAAAGAATAAATCAGTAAGAAACCTGAAAGAAATTTTAAACACTGGTGTGTAAATGATGCAAAAATCTGTAAAATCCCAATAATGATTGAATTTTAGTTCTGTGCTCTGTGAAATGATTGGGATCATTTTCAGTTTGACAAAAGGTAAATGTGGAAAGACATGAATCCTTCAGTGGCTAACGATTGGATTTTGATTTTCAGGATAACTATACAATTCAGAAACGATTTTCAATTATGTAACAATTTGATTCAGAAATAATTTTCGATTCAGGAACCAGTTTTTCTATGCAAATGGTCCAGAGATTCTGTTTAGGTTGTTTGACTGGCAAGAAAAAAAGTTCCACTCCAAAATATTTCACTTATAACAAAACATATTTCCCATGTTTAAGTGAAAAAGTCTGCATTGTTTACTTAAAACAATCTCCGATATCTTGCTGAAAAATAACCTGTATGTTAGTTTTGTTTTATTCCAACTGTACTGATATATATGTGCTGAACTGTAGACCAGAAATACTTGGTAAAATGTTGTGTTTTTGCAGTGGATGACTGAATTAAGTCCAAATTGCTCCCATCTGCTGCGTTTGGTGGCCCTTTTTGCGTCTGCATGTCTTTAGTGCAAACTTTGTCGCAAACATTGACTGAAGCAAACAGCAGAACCAGACATCAGGGAAACATGCCGGTGATTGCACAGCTTCACGATTTCCTCCCTGAATCTTTCTGCCGATGATCTGTGGATCTACATGAAGCTGTAGCCTGCAGCTTTTGTTTTGCTTGGTTTTGTTAAATTACGCCTTCATCTTCATTCTGTAATGGTCTAAGGTTTTGTGGTGCTTTTGATTTCTTATGTCTTTCATGACTTTGCATTTTTATGGGTATGTTAGGGTTTTGTTAAAGTCAATATAATTTGTGTTTGGTGTAATTTATGTCATTTTGTTTCCTTATTTCCACTGTTTTGTCTCAGCTTGTCTGGAGCGCTGCACACAGAGTTCTTGTTCCTTAATTATAAAATCTGTTCTATATCAATATTGACTCCCTCAGTGTATATATGCTTCTAGGTTTTCAGCTGTCACACCCCTGTTTTTGTGCCTACATCAGTTTTTTGTTCATATAGTGGTTTGAAATCTTAATTTTTTCCCCCGCATTTTGTAATTTTAAGTTGTCTCGTGCTGTAACCTACCAGCTAAAGAGGCAATAATTTCTAATCGTCGTTAAGCATTTCTTTGCTCTGAATGCAAGGAGAAGAAAACTCTCTAATCTTGGGGCTTAGTGTGTTTTCTGAAGGCTCAAACTGGGATCTTATGGTCGGAAATAACTGCTGGCAGCCTCAGACGTGGTGTCTTTGAAGCTTTAACTATTACCAGCACTGATCAGAGCGCAATCAGTTGTATTAAGCTCAAAGGCGGAGTCCGCGTCTGGACGCCCGGTGGTCCACTCACTGAGCGACGTGAACACATGGTCGTGTATCTAAGAGATTAGACATTACTCTGACCTACGTTCTCCCCCTGGAGGGCTTTTTTTTTATTCTAATTTTAACCATAATCACTGCTTGCAGTTCCTCAAGATTATCCAAACCTTAAATCATGTTTTCACTTTAAAAATGTAATGATTTATAACATGAAGACTAATTTCCCACAAAGAACTTCAAGTCCCTATTATAAGCAAACAGCCTTCCACAAAATCTGAACTAATTCTAGTAAAGGAGGTGCTTGAAGTCCTTGAAAATGCTTGGATTTCAAGTCAAGGTTTGGAAAATTCTTGATTCTTGCACAGTTTTGTAATAAAGCACAATCTAACATTTGATTAAAATCCTCAATCTGGAAAACGTTACAAGTATTTACACTTAACAGAAAGAGACACATTTTTTCTCGCAGTTTGAAGTTAAATCAGATCAAACTTTTCTTGTTTTACATCACTTAGATTTACCAAAAATAATTTCTATTTGCTAAAAACCTAAAGCGCTAAAATATTCAGATTTTTTTGTGACTTTCTTTGTATATTGTTTTCAAGCATTTAACCTGAGCATGAAGGTGATTTAAATTAACACAATTTGTTTGGATTGTTTCAATGTAGTGATTTATTCAGTGTAGCTGAAATAAAGGTTTGCTAATCTTTTATACATTAAACACTTTTCTAAATGAGAATTGTGGGATTATTTTGTTAAATTTGTGTTTTGTTTTTCTCAGACTAGTCGGGTGTGAAAAAGATTTCACAACATAAAATGTTATGTTTTAGTTTATGTGAGAGAATGGACATTAGATGTAATTACACCCCCTCCTTTTTCTGTTTGTTTATTTGCTTCCATTTTTCTTATCCTGGCTGTGCTCTTAAGCTCCACTTATCTTACTGAGATGCACTGGACTGCAGTGACAACGCTTCACCACCAGTGGGCACATAGAGCATGGTGAGCAGCACTCCTGACTCAGCGAGCCAACGGCAATTAAGCGTAGCAACGGCTGGTCAGTGAAGGCGCTCACTGTCGCTCTCATGTTTCCACAGGTAAATGTCAATTAGCGCTGCTGTTTATGTCTCTTGTGGAGAAGGTGGGCTAGGGCGGAGTAGCGAGGTATATATGTGGAAGTGTGTAGTTAATTATTTGACTTGTATTGTAAATATTTGTTCTTTGACTTATGTCGTAAATATTTATTTGTGAGCGAGCCAACGGCAATTAAGCGTAGCAACGGCTGGTCAGTGAAGGCGCTCACTGTCGCTCTCATGTTTCCACAGCAATTGTCAAAATAAAAGAACCTGCGCAACACCACACTGATTTATTATTAAGTGTGCAACATTTATCTTGTCCATGCTCTTCAATGTAGAACACTTTCATAAGACATTAAAAAAGTAATAAATGATATGAAATTATAGTGATTTATAATAGATTTTATCTTATTTGATAATTTAGTTAATTTGTATTGTTTCCAAAGAGTGGTGTTTTTAAAAAATGGTAACTTGCTTTTAGAAGTGCTCGAATTTTACTTTGGGAAAAGTCTATATAACCTGGAGACAGGAAAAAGTTGCTTACAGTGAAACAATTCTTTACCGTTACAATAACCTGTAAAACAGTTAGAGGTATAACGATGCATTCATCTCACTGCATTAACTCACAAAGGTTTTGTGGGGGATTGCAATACTTTTACAACGCAGAGGAAAACAATTCCCACAATATCCTCTAGAGGGCTCCATAGAGTAGAACATTCCAGTATTGGACATTTTTCTGCTAGCTTAGTCAGTTTAGACAAAAAAAAAAAAAAAACAAAAAAAAAAACACGTTTTTTCTTTCCAGACCAAAACATTTTTTAAATGACATCATATAATAAAAATAACTTTTTACTGCATTACCTCGTAACACTTTTGCAAGGCAGTGCAAAAGTACTGTTTGGGTATGCAAAACCTTTGAGAGTTAGCGCAAAGGTTTTGGAGGAATGCAATACTTTTGCGTGAGTCACGTTATTTCGCTTCACCCAAATAACACAAAATAAAGAAATTCCCCCAGTATCCTCTAGGGGGCTCTACAGGGTAGAATATTCCAGTATCAGACATTTTTATGCTAGCTTAGTCAGTTTAGAAAAAAAAAAAAACATGACTCTTTTCTGACCTCAAAACAACTGCAGATATATTTTGTGGTTTCTTTCAGATCCATTAAAACTTTTATAAGATTACTGGAACCAAAACAAAAACAAAGTCATCCTTGAAGGTGCTTTTAGGTACATTGGTGAGTTTGGTCCTGGTTCATTTCCCACTCTGAACCCCAACCCTTCACCTTGGATGGTTTTTGTCAAACGTGTCACCACCACACATCAGTGAGTGAGGTGGAAGGAAACCACAAAATAGCTGTCCACAGCCTGTATCGAATTAGTGTCAAGCTCCAGCCTGTCATACACAATACAATTAAACCTACTCCCGCCTGCCAAAGAGGAAAGCAGGAAGGAGGTGGGGGGGGGGAGAGGAAAAGAAAGTGGCCGTCAACAGTAAAACAGAATGACAAATGTTACCGGCGTCCACTCAGTGTGTGGCAAGTGCAGGAGTCGATCAGAGAGTCGAGCCGTGCTCTGCTCCATCTGCCAGCGTGGACAGGGTGGGAGAGAACCGAGATGTTTTGGGGCCAAAGCTGCAGATGCTCCCACTCTTCCTCCCTCCTCCTCCTCCTCCTCCTCCTTCTCTGACCACATTAGAGGTGTAACACTCCGGTGGTCTTTGATTCCTCGAGCTGAAAGGGATGCCCCACAACGAGATCAGATATCATTTAAGGCTCGCGCCCCACCTCAAATTGCTCAAAAAATGCAACATATCCATCATAAACGAGGAAGGCGAGCAAATCCAATTATGTTGAAAATATGATTCCTGGAACTTTGTTGGTGGTCATTTGCACAGAACGTAGTGCAGTGCTTCATGATTTCTGTTAAATTTACATGTTGTTGCGTAATAATGACTCCTCAGATGCATTTCTGTTCTGATTCTAGCATAACATTTAAAGCAAATTGATGCTTTTAAGTAATAATTTCATTTTTGACTGATAAATACCAAATTTCAGAAAACTGCAAAACAGCTGAAACACTGAGTTCCTTTAAATCCAGACCACCTGTTTTGTCATTTTTCAAACATTATAAATGAAACATTAATCAACATTCTGATGTTTAATGATAGTGCTAAAAAACGTAATGAAAGCACTTTGAACTGCCTTGTTGCTGAAATCTGATGAAATAAACTTGATTGATTAATTGATTGATTTCTGATTCAGCTCACTTTACTTTCCAGAACAGAGTTGTCCAAATCTGGCCAGACAAATGTGTTCAAATGTTCACAAGCGTTGAATAAGAAGAGATATGAGCTTCGTGTCTCACTGTCTGACTTTAAACTAAATGCTTCCTGCTTTAGGTCAGTTGAAAGGGGACATAATATGAAAAATTCACATATTTGCACATTTTTGTATTTCTGTTTGGCTCTACTGCTTGTAAAAACAGCCCAAGCAATAATAAATTGTATTTTTTCAAAACTTGTTTAAATTTAATCTATTTTTCTCATTGCATGTTGTTTCAACTTCCTTGTACAAACACTTTGAATAGTTTCTGGCTGAAAGATGCTTCATAAATGAAGTTACCTTGTTTAAAAAAAAAAAAACACCCAGCTGTTTTTTGGGTGATAAGTTTATGCTTTTTGCTGTTTTGTTAAGTGATAAACGACAGACACTTTATTTCCTTTTAATTATGACGACTTTCTGCTAACAGTGAATGAAAGCACATTTAAGATCAGACTAATAAGAAAGAAATCTATTTTTAAAAACAAAAATGTGGGATTAATGGAAAGTATGTCTAACACATGCTTAAAGATAAAAAAGGTACCTTTAATGTAACAAAAGCAAACATTTTTGTGTGTAAAAAAATAAACGATTCTTATTAAAATGAAAATAGATGTTATAAAAATGTTTTGCCTTCCTTGTCAAACAGTTCTGGTCACTTGTAAAGTGAGTTTCTTTGATGTCTGAGTCGTTTTTAGAGACCTGAGCGTCGGTGCATCATCATCATCATCATCATCATCATCATCATCCTGCTCTGATTTATGAGCCCAGACTTTCAGCGCTACAGAAATGCTTTTAAGAGGGGACCCCCAGGATGATCCACAGTCCGCGGGGTCAGAGTTCAGAGCGGGTCGGCCGAGGCGTCGCCCAGGTGGGAGGGTTGAAAGGCCAAAGGTCGGCAGGCGGGACACCTGCGAGGACGTGATGAGGACACCTGGGACGGCTTTGACAGCAGGACAATGTGAAAGGTTCAAGAAGGGAAACGTGGCCTCAGGTGCTGCAACGAAACGCTGAACCCGTTTCTCATCCTAAACATGCGACTCAGCTCTGGCAGATGTGGGTTATGACTCTACAACGGGCCAGAGAAACAGATGTTTTCTTTTTATTATGAGAATAATTTCATTCGAGTAGAATAAAGATGCAAAAATACCAGAAGAAAGTTGTTGTTTTAATGAAAGAAAAGCTGCAGTTATGAAGATCTGGTAATAATAGCATTTTATTTTCGTACTATTACGACTTTTTGTAAGTAACATTATGAGTTTATTCTCATGTTATTTCAACTTCGTTGTTGCATGACTATATTGTAATTAGATTTTTTTTCTTGCCCTGGTCCTAATACTCTGTTGTAAAACTGAATTTAACGTTAAAATTAGTTACATTGTGTGACAAAAATAAGAACTTTTTTTGTACACCTGGTGCTGCTGTTCCACCTTAAAGTCTGTTTCCGTTCTATTCTATTCTCTAAATCAAAACTGATGACTGCAAATTAAACATTTCTGAAATGAAGCTTAAAATCCTTCCTAACTTATCGTTTAATGTTTATTTCACCTCAACATGAACCGAAATGTCTAAACTGTGTATTTTAAAACAAATCTTTTAACTCCTTGCAGTTTGTGTTACCTCCATCCTCCTCGTTTTGCCTGCTTGGCTGCAGCTGAAGTGGAGGCAGAGGGAGAGCGGAGAGGCGGCGCGGCCATTAGACACAGAGCTGTGGAGAGATTAGGATGCACACAGCACAGCAGCACCACAGGCAGTCTCTGTACCAAAGCAAGGATTAAGGATTAGGCAAGGTTCAGGCAGCAGCACCAGAGACTAAAAGCCACTCAGCTCGCCAAGAAGATTCTGCTTTCCTGGTTTTTATGACACTGAGGATGAACTGCTAGTGCTTTCCGAAAAGGAATGGGACATACAATAATTCACTAACCAAGATATATAGTTTTACTTTTTTTGATTTGTTTATTTCATCTTGCAGAACATCTGGTGCTGGAATTTGTCTGAGCCTTGTTGTTTTTTAGCATTTAGTCCCACTAAGCAAGACGTTTCATCTGCAAACTTATTTCCTTGTTTGTTCTTTTGCGGGTTTAGATTCCTGTTGGACTTCGGTGAAACTTTAAGTAAAGTCAACGACATGCTGGTGAGGGGAATCAGACGTTTGGTTAAGAGGTTTTGGAGAAAAGAGGCATCTAAAAGCTGGACTTGGGCATCCTTGATGAAGAAAATGTGGATTATGTCCAGAAAATTTGCAGATAACATATAAAATCTGGTCATAATGTGGTTGAAAACTGTGAGAAAAAGATAACAGTCATGATAAACTCTATCTATGTCAAACTTGTTTAGAGACACAAATGTTACATCACCGTTTGGGAAAAAATATACATCTACTACAAGACTGTTGTTATTTTTAAAGAACAAGATTATTATTTCTGTTACATTTTGAAATAAAGAAAAACATGAAACTATGTAAAAATAGGGTAGAAACATATAACATTTCCAACCTAAAGACAAAAAATAGATTTAAAAAGTTGCAGAAATTCCAGGACAAAAGAGGAGCTAATACTAAAAACTTGCATTTGGGATTATACCCATATTTAAAAACATACGTTTTTTTAAAAAAAATGTTTTTATCATTTCTAGTCAATTAAGAGCCACTGTAGATGGTTCAAAAAACCTGATTCTGTTTCAGCATTTAAGCTTTACAATATTTTAAGTAAAAGACATTTGTTCCTTTAGTTTGGCTGCTTAATTCATAAATAATTACTGCTTCTTTTCACATCTGCAAAACAGTGAGTGCATTTCTCGAAACAGTTCATACGAACAGCAAACGTCAAGGATTACCTACAAGATCAAGCTTCTTTTTCAAAATCCATAGTCTATTTGTCAAAATTAAATATCTCCATCAATGAACATTTCAAGATTATGTTTCACTGAGTTGGGATAAAAGAGTCAAATTGGTTAGTCATGTTGTAAATAAAGCTGCGTATTTGGAAGTGCACCAAATATCCCTCAAATATTAAGGGATATTTGATATAAACTATGGCAAAAGTTTTAATGATGAGTTATAAATTGTCATGGTGGGAGACCGATAGCATGAGAGACTGATGTCA